CATCCACCATCCTTTACCCTGTTATAAAGAAGTAAATAGGTCTACTGTTATGTTCAATATTGGTACCTTTGACAAAGACTGAGAAGGAAGCATGACACCAGCCCTCTTCCTGGCTCTTCAATGGAATCTGCAATAGATCACAACAAATGACGTAAACTGTTTAACAATAGATTATCGTTGGTTTTCTGATCTATTTATTTGGTTTCTGAAGCTTGACACCAACTAGTCGACATATTTAGTATAAAAAAATCTTTAAAAATATTTTGACTCCTGATACTCCTACAGATTTTGTATGCATGGTTCTGACTGTCTGAACATGATTATATTTTTTTTTTTTTTGTGCACATACTGTCAGAGAACAAGATAAAACATAAATATCTGATAATAAGAACCATTCCATATTTTTATGTGAGAGGGGAGAGAGAGAGATAAAGACCATAGATTTTGAATGAAGCAAATGTGAAGACAAGTACCAAGTACTTAACAGATCTAGAGATAAATTAGGACAGGTACCCGAGGATGATTTCAAAATTTCATGTAACGTTCAAAACATTGTTTCGCAATCTTCAGTAAAATACCTCGGTGTTACGATAGATAAATTTCTATCTGGAGAGGAAATTGTCTCCAACATTATCCAAAAAATCAATCAAAGACTTAAATTTTTGAACAGAAATAGTAAATGTCTATCTCTAAAATCTCGTAAAACTTTATGTTCTGCTCTGATTCAGTGCCACTTTGATTATACGTGCACCTCCTGGTATGAAGGAATTACTAAGAAACTCAAAGGTGTACTCCAGACTACCCAAAACAAAATGGTCCGCTTTATTCTTAACCTTGATAACAGAACAAGGATCACTGACATGCTTAATGTAGAACGAAGGGTCCGTCAACTTCGCCTCAACCATACTTTTAACATCTATAATGGTAAATGTCCATAATATTTATATGAACTTTTCTCTCTAAAAAAAAACTGTTTTGGTACTAGATCTGGAACGATGAACTTCTCAATAAAAAAACGTTAAAAGCATAGAAAGTTCTTCCTTTTCTACTTCGGCTGCAAAAGATTGGAATTCCCTTCCAGAAAATATTAAAAATTCTAAAAATAAATATTTTAAAAACAAAGTAAAACAATTTCTGATGCTACAATCAAAAGGCGAATTTGACAACCCCTTCGTCTACTATTGAGCTCAACCTCCACTTCTTTGCGTCTGGTTGAACGGGTAGTGAGGTTATATTATTGTTCATATTATGTTATATTATTGTTCATATTATATTATTATGTAATATCTCTTCAAATCCCATCCTTTTTCATAAATGCCCTGAAATGTGCCAAAACATTTTATTCACTTTCAGTATTTGTTTTCATATCTTCTATGTAAATGTAATTTTCTTTCAAATTTAGTGCTCTGTTTCATTTATAGTTAATGCTGCGAAAATTAATTCAATCTCATTTTCCATGGCTTTACATCTCAACCGGAATGATTACACCTTAAATGGACCCCATTGTAAATAAGCCTATTTTATAGGCTTTATGGGTAATCCAAGGCCAAAGGCATTTTCATCTGGTTTTATCTAATTTCTCTCTTTTTTATTGATATTTCTAAAATTTTCAACTATTTTACTTCGAAGATTTGCAAGCACAGTGTAATTTAATTTCTGCGATACTAGTTTAAACTGTGATATTTTAAGGTATGTGAAATTCTTCTGTGATATCTTATATTTTATAATTAATAATTTTAAGAAATCCACAAAAATTTATTACTGATTTTAATTGTTATTGAATTGCTTATGTAATGTGATATTTGTAATGTGTAATTTTATTATGCCTTTGCCTGAATAAACATAATAATAATAATTTAATGACAGGCAAGAGCTCCTTCACAACTGAATAAAAACAAGTGATTTACAGTGTAGTATGTAGGAGCATATGTGATCACTATGTTCTGATCTTCCTATCTATATCTATGTTATCAACAAGTAAAAGGATAGCCTTTGCAGATGCTCCAGTACTAGGGAGGTCAGCTCAAAAAATGAACCACCTAGAAAACATTTTAAAACATGTTTTTTGGACAAAACTCAAAGAAAGAGGAATTTTGGTGCAAAAATTTTGGAAATCGGTTGAGCGGTTCAAAAGTTACATCAATTTTTGTACCTCGAAAAGTGACCCTTTTTCTGTTTTTGGCAAATAGTCCCTAAAAGAGGCATGTTTGAGGCCTTATATCTGAAAATGTGGTTATGATATGTATTGTCTGATTGTTGTAGGGTGCCAAGTTCCCCTTAAGCTTCAAAAAGAAACATTTACTTAGTTTAGGTGGGGACAGATAAAAAAAAAATTGGCAGCTGAACATGAGGAATTATTCGTTTGGACTTAGTTTTTTTGCGAAATGTGTCGGCACCCCTCTTTGCTAGACTACCACTTTTGAAGAACTTTATCTTAAAAAGTAATCACCCAATTTATCCAAATCTCCTTATTTTTACAGATCACAATGCATTTTCTTGAAAAAAAATTCCAGTTAGGGTTTAAGATCATTATTTTTTTTAATATTTTGATATCAAATACCCTGCGCAGCCCCTTTTTGAGACGAAATCAAAAATTTCAGAAAAAATGACTTTTTTGATGCAGAAAGCTCAAAAAAAATCTGGAATTTTTTTTATATGGTGTTTCTTGTTGATCTTTGTATGTTTTATCAGAAAATATGTAATATTTCCCCTAAATTTTTTTTTTGAAAGCAACAGCTCCAAAATATAGCTGCCAAAGAGGTATATTTTTAGCCCCGAAAAGACGAAAAATAACATTTTTTCAGGACAAAAAGATCTTCAACTACTCCCAGGTGGTAATAAAATGACAATTTATATAAGAATGCTTATTTCTACATACAAATGATCAAGTTTTAACTCAAAACAACAATTTTTTGCAACATTTAAGGTTGTTTTTCTACGTTTTGAAAATTTTGGATAAAACCTGAAATTTGTGTTTAATCATGAAATGCGAGAAGAATATAAACTATTGTATGGTGTATAAGGTATCATTTTAAAGATAGAAATATGTAGAATGCAACTAGCAAATATTTGTACCTCTATCTATTAACAGCACCAAGTATTTCTATAAAAACCTAGCCCTACCCCAAAATCAAACATTCTCAGAAGGTGAACCCCCCCCCCCCCCCCCCCCAGCCCCCAATTTTTTTTTACTCCTACAAACAATATCATTTGAGAAAAAATGTTCCTGTTGACATTAGTTCACCTTTTATAAGCCTTAAGAGTTGAAACACGGTTATTCTTGTCTTTATAAGTTTATCCTTAAGATTAAGATAAAAGCACAAAAAATAGGTAAATCTGTCATTATCTAGCATAAGTTACTTTTAACATCAATGTTAAAATTTAACGGTCATAAAAATTGTTATCTAATTAATTCATTGATAGTGTTGAGAAAAAAAAAGTAAAAACAATCATCACATCCTTATCAAACTGCAAATAAAAAAGTGTATTGGATTGTAAATAAAACTTATCACACTTACCAAAAATAAAATGAAAATCAGTATATCAGAGCGTGTAAACAAACTAAACAGAAAATAAATCAAAATAATTTTTTTTTTTTTTTAGAAAAAGATTTATTTAGATTAAAAATTAAATAAAATAAATCACAATTATTATTCTTCCTCTGAAAAATTTGACAAATTAAAAAGAAACCAAAATAAGGTAAAATAAAACTTAAATAAATAAAAGAGATTTTAAAAAGTGTCATAAATTAGCAAAACAATTAAAAATATAAAGAATTTCAACAAAATAAATAAAACAACTTTCTTTCACTTCAACAATACCCCCTTGCATTGATAAAGAAGGGCAGTTCTTACATTCAGAAGGAATTTAACAACCAAGATATAGACCAAAATCAACTTTCTGAGTTAAGAAGTATGGGCTAGTTGAGAGGGAGTATAATCATGATATTTGACAGAGAAAATTGTTTTCTCATCAAATGTTCATGCATTTATTTCATGGAAAATAATTTGTATTTGTGAAGTATGGTTCTGTGTTCAGAAAATGTTTTTTTTATACCCCCAAATATATTTTTCTTAACCACAGCAACTATCTCCGTTTTTTCTTTTGTTCTAAAACATACTTTTATATAAATCCTAAAGATAATCGAATGTTTCCTTTGATATTTAACATAAAAACCCAAAAATGTTCCGAATGGACATACTGATGTCATGAACGTGTCCCATTGGTCAATTTTGTTTACCGGGTCGGGAGGATTTGCACCCGGCCTGCAGCAGTAGCAAAGTTCGATAACTCATACGAACAAAACATTGTGGCAAAAGTCATTCAAATATCCAATGATTTCCGCTGGCTGCTCTTGTTATTTTGTTGAAACCTTGGTTACCAATCGCTAGATGAAGGTCCAGGCTACCAAAATCCGAGTGATCCCTGTTCGCGGCGAAGTGATATCACGGTAAAAAAACACTGTTTTGCAAATTTATATTTTTTACAGTGTGATCCCTATACTTTTTGAAAAGAGATCACTCAGTTTCAAAAACTAGACTATATTTCCTAAATTTTAAGCCATTAATGGTAAAAATTGGTCCAGTAATAGCCAGCGGATTTAATTCTGAACTTGGCACACTTGTTGACACATAAATCAACATGGCGGCCGAATTTTTGGAAACGACTTCACTTCGAACTCCATGCAATGGTAGGAATTTATATCTTATTACAAAATGATTACCAAAATAAGAAAATATAAGTCTTGAACTTTATTTTGATATATTTTTATCCCCCAACTACGCTTATTTGATATTTTAATTTTAGTGTGAAAAACCCGAAAAAATGGGGTTTTTTGCTCCAACAGAACGTAATAAGCCTGTAAATGACCGTCGCCGACCTCCCTATTTGAATGGATTTCGTCATTTGGAAATGTTGGGGACGTGTATAGTGATTTATGTTAAACTCAATCAATAACACAAATAATTTATACTGATTTCTCATTATGATATTTTAGATCAGCTTCTGCTGGCTGGCTTCATTTGGATAACAACTGGAAAGTCCAGATTTCTCATGACTATGGACTGATTTCCAGAAGGTTTGGATTTAGACGGAGCACCCAAGTGTAAGAAGCCTGCAGTGTCTAATTAGCAGGGATGATATTAACTTGTTACATCTTTTGTGCACAGTTCAGAATTAATTGTTAAAGAACAAATAATACAATTTTCTATGGACTTTATGGATATCCCATACCAGGAAACTCACTGAAGAAGAACTAAATAGACAAAACTTTCTGTCATCATGGAGCGTAATATATTTGGACTCCTTTTATTAATTTCAATTTTAAATGGTAAGTATATTTAACTTAGACCGGAATGATGGAGTATATGCTATTTAAGATCTCATGATGTTGAACTACAGTTAGCAGTTTTTCGAGGAAGTTGAAAGTTTAACTTTTATTTGAGCATGGAAAATTAATTAAGTCCATTTTGACCACCTAGATAGAAGACCAGAACAAGGCTTGAAGGTTTTAATTTGATGTATATAATCAGACTCCAGATGATCTGTCAGTAACCTGAGACAGATTAAGAGACTAGTTTAACCCTGATTGCTTGATTAAGTTCAGATAAAAACTGGTGGCTGGTTTGTGGTACACTGTACATGTGTTTCAGCTCCAATTGGTAGCTACAGAAGATGGCAGCTACTGTGAGCTATAGGAGGGATGAAACCTCTAGCTTTTTAATACCACAAGGAACCTGACTTTATTATCAGATGTAATCTGTCCACCGTTAAAATCATTTTGAAATATTGAAATGATGTTGAGGAGTCAAAACAAATTTCTGAATACTGAAAACGGGAAAGGTCATTGGACATGAATTTATATGCTGCAACTTATTTCAAATCATTGCTGGTTTCTAAATAATTGGCTTTCATATAGACAAGTTGTGAGCAGGTTTAGTATCACGGTTACCTACATTATTGTTCACTGTCAGCCTGTTTGATTGTGAGAGCTATCATGAAATACTACACAGTAGTTTGGTATTAAGGTAAATGATAGATATATGTTACTTAAGACACTGTTGAGAAAGACCTATATATGATTATAATAATTTCAGTATACTGAACATGTTCTGATCCAAGATGTACAGTAATTTCCATGTATAATGTGTAACTTCAATGTTTGAATCAACATTATAATATGCAATAAGGCTTTTATTTAATTGAATTTGGAAAATTTAAAATTAGGAATCAACTGCTTGAAGATTCAACACAGAACTAAGGTATAAACACCAAACACAAAAATATGCTGTACTTGCATATTTGAGAATACAGTTGAAGTGATGAGAAATGGTTTTGTCAGCTGGACAAACAACCAAGTAAGGATTAAGGCTGCTGTGTGTGTGTAATGGGGGGGGCTAATCACTAGTTATAATCTGGAGAAGGATTGAAGATCTGACACGTCCATCTGATAGCTGGATCACCATTAGCACCAGCTAGTCAGAGAGATTGTCAGACAGCATTCTAAGGGAGGGGAGACTAGCTTTACATACACATGTACATATGCTAGTGTGTAGGATCAGACCAAGCCAAGAGAAAAATGTGCTTCACAGAGTCTTTGTCTTCAATCTACACTATTTGCTAATTTTAATGGAAAAGAAATTGCTGGTTATATTTCATTTTTAACATGACTTAAGGCATTTAATGAGACAGAGTATTTTACATAATATATATGGTTATTACCATATGGTTATTACAAAATATTATCAGGGATTAAACTTACATCACAGAAAAACAACTGTTCTTGGCTGTTGAATCATGCACACATATGTAGTCATTTTCAGTTGAAATGTGATTCAGATTATATAGATAGTGTGACAAGTTTGACTGAAATATCTTATTGCACTATAAATCACAGGCATGATGATGGCTATGTAATTTTAATTGCACAGGCTTGTGAATGGTATTGTTCAGAGCATCTCTTTGATGAGTTTTTTGGATACATGTAAATCAGGTTCTCATGTGAAAATGGGAATTTCATGTACTTTCAATTGGACTGACAAATATTTGCATGGCAAGACACATTTTTGTTACCCTTCAAACTAAAACACCATGAATTATGATTGTATTGCCATGTCTGTATTCCCTTATAGTTTTGAAATGATCAAAAATAAAAACACCAACTTTATTAAGATAATTTTCCATCTGTAATGTAGTGAAATTTAAGTACACAGAGGCAGTTATGACTTAGATGTAAATATTAGCAGGACATCACACTTTGCATCCTCATGTCAAAGATCCAGAGTGTAACGTTAAATCCCTATGGTCTGGCTAGATCATGTCGTGTTGTGTTGACAAAGTTTAAACTGATTTGGGCCTCCCACATTCTGTTCATTGACATATAACCACAAGCTCCTAAAGGAAATCTTGTCTCAAAATGACACTGGCTGTTCGCTGGGCAGCAAACCATGCAAACATATATCTGTCGTGGTTTCTTTTTTTATACAAAGGCAAAGGATTTTCTCATAAAAATATCATTATACGAATTTGTGTATTGCAAAATTATGAGACACGTTTACTGTTAATCACTTTTAACTTTGCCTAAAATTTATCTGTTCCTACATGTGTATGCAATGTTTATGTTTGACATATATATATATTAACACAGACTGCCGGAGGGTTAATCCTACAGAGGCATACAAGAACCCTCCACGTACTTATTGTCAAGTTTTATGTCGCCCACTAAATCAAAGTTTTGAGAGTCCCAGATCAAATTTTACACGTCCATTTGATACTGTGTGGTATATATCCTATCTCATGTGCCAACAAAAACAAGGAATCATTTGCTTATCCATTTGGTTGAGTACCTATCATAGGACACACAGGTTAAGTTACAGAGCAAAGTATATCCTGTCTACAGAAATATTGTTAACACTAGACTAGCCACAGTGAACATTTTTCACTTCTAAAGTAATTCTTAGAAATTTATAGGTAAGTATAATGATAAATTTATCAGGTTGTAATCTGAACACAAAAACCTTATTAATAATTTTTTCCTAGTTTACTTCCAAGAAAAGCATAGAGTATTTTTTGTAGTAACTTTATCATGGCGATAGATATGAAATGAAACTTTTGAAACTTTTTCACTTTAGTCCTGATCTGTTGTCTTATTTTTGTTGTTTGTAAACTGAAGGTCACAACATTGCATAGTGACAGTGAAGTAAATCAAATGTATTGATATTTATAGTTAGTTTGTAGCTCAACAAAGGGATGGTCAGTTGGGCCAAAACATGACCAATGTTGAAACACTCACATAACCAATAAATTCAGATTAAGACAACAAAGTGTCTATGATAAACAGGTAAACTTCTTTCAGATAGTTAAGAATTTTGAATGTTTTCAAGTTTACTGTTAAAAAAAGAAATTTTAAGACTTGTTTTGTTGCTAAAATGATCTCAAGTAGGCTGTAAGTCTCTGGTTTAGATTTGTTGATAAGGATCAAAAGAATCGTAATACTTAGCCTAGCAATCTTGAATATAACTTCTTGCTTTCTACTTTAATTTTGACTGGTTGAGAATGAAAGTAAATGAGTATCATCTATAGGAAAGTTTAACTGGTCATGGTGTTGAATATTAGTGTACTGTGTGAGTTTTCTAACATATTCTGTTTCTCACTTGTTTCTCACGTTTGTTTGGAAGTGTCTGTGATGTACCAGATGAATATAGTTCTGTCCTTACCATACTTGTCATGGAGGATGGAATCAGAGTACACCCTCCTGGTACAGCTTGCCATTTTGTCTTGGTTTATTAAGTACAGAACTAGAGTGGTGGATTGCCCTGTGGTTTGCATGACTTGATACTTTGTGGTTTAAGAGTCACTGGGTCAGTGCCTGGCTGTGATTATGGTAGATACAGGAGCGATACATTGTTACTTGTGGTTGAGTTGAGATGAAGAGCTTTCATTTACTAAATCTGAAGTGTGAGTGAATGGTTTATTGTAAAAGGATAAATATTTCCATTTTCCACTTGCTTTCTGAAGGTTGTTTTGTTAGAAAACAGTGAGTGTTCTAGAGCATACACAAGGGAATTCAATGAGGGTGTAAATCAGTCTTTATAGCTTCCGATAAATAAAACGTAAAGTTAAAACATGCTCCATTGACTTTTCACTTTGAAAATGTCCTGGCTGTTTCATTGAGGACTGTTGATGAGCATGGTTATGTGGGCTGTTGCAACACATATAGGTATTGTTACAGGACGACATATTCCCATTGGTCTGTGTGTAAATCACGGTAGCTTGGGGTTGTAGCTCTAGTCTAAAATAAACAGTAAATGGAAGCTCTGTTTTTTTTTGTGGGGGGGGGGGGGGGGTGGGTGGGGGTGGTCCTATTACTTTAATCATTTGTTTGTGTAGAGGTAATATGTCATCATGTGAGATAGTGTAAAAAATGTTACCCTTAACTGGGAAGTTTTATAGACATAAAAGTTACCTGTAACTGGGATGTTTTGTAGACATAAAGATTACCTGTAACTGGGATGTTTTGTAGACATAAAAGTTACCTGTAACTGGGATGTTTTGTAGACATAAATATTACCTGTAACTGGGATGTTTTGTAGGCATAAAAGTTACTTGTAACTGTGATGTTTTGTAGACTTAAAAGTTACCTGTAACTGGGATGTTTTGTAGATATAAAAGTTACCTGTAACTGGGAGGTTTTTAGACATTAAACTTACCTGTAACTGGGATGTTTTGTAGGCATAAAAGTTACCTGTAACTCGGATGTTTTGTAGACATAAAAATTACCTGTAACTGAGATATTTTGTAGACATAAAAGTTACCTGAAACTGGGATGGTTTGAAGACATAAAAGTTACCTGGAACTGGGATGTTTTGTAGACATAAAAGTTACCTGTAACTGGGATGTTTTGTAGACAAGTTTAAGAATATTATACTGAAGAAAGAAAGGTGACCAATTTCAAATGAAAAAAACTTGTAACATTTGTTTTTATATATATCTAGTAAGTCAATTAATGTTTCATCATGCTTAAATTAACAAATCTATCATTTTGATGTACCTCATCAACTTTGTACTAAATTTATAGATGGAATAAAAAGTTATACAAAAAGACAAAAAGATTAAAAGCCAAGGCTACCAAAACAATGGGAAAATCAGACAAAATATCTAGAGCACCTCCCTTGGCTTACATTTCACATGTTTGTGATCTTGAATTCAAAGTTGATGGTCCCAGTAGGACTACTAGGAGTTCCCATGGCCTCAGTGCAGCCTCCATCTGGGGGCTGACCTATCCCAGCTGCTGGCCTGACCTGGACATTGTTTGCTTTGACAGGGAGGAGC